AGGTTTGTTCTCATTTACATATTAAAGTTCTATGTATAGGCAGGCGTAGGTTAGATGTTTAGGTTCTCTAGGTGATTATTTGAAGAACATTTGTTGAAGCATTTGCAGAGTTGCGATTCGAACAGAAGTCGTCACCGAAGCACTGTTCGAGAAATGTTGGAACGTCATCGGTTGAGTCATGTGTAAACCGTTTTTCATTCACAATACCTCAGGGAAGGTAATGGTGCCCTGTAGTAGTAACCCCTGTGAGGAGTGGGGTTTACAATGACCTGTTTGATGGGGTTCTGGGAGTTCTTCTTCTCCCCCAAGCCCGGCCCGAGGCCAGGCTTGACTTGTGACCTCAAGATCTGCGTTGTTGCCCTCCTTAAGAAAGTCCAGTTTCTCGGTGCTTTGGTAATCACCTATTTAAACGTCTGCAATTACTGGTACGCCTTGTAAAGATGGGCGGGTGGGATCAGCTTAGGCGAAGCCACACCTACTTTATGAGGAGTCACACCCACCTAATTAGACTTAATAATTCAGCAGTTACGGGAATCAACACACCCACCCATGAAGATTGAGGACTCGACGGTCATAAGGGAGGGCGGAATGATCCTCCTATCACAATAATGAGGAAAATAAGAAAACGGGATTAAAGTGAAAGCATCCGTGACAGCAATGTGACGAGAGGGGAAACTCTCATAAAAACTTGCCAATTTAACCAAATTTATGTAATGTAAAAAATATTTATGACTTGTTTGATTTAATTAAGTTGCGTGTCACAAGATCATATTGAATGTTGTTTTCATATTTATGCAGTGTTGGAATTGATTACCGAATATGTTAAAGGTGTTCAAGTCTAGTCATTGTACAAATTACTTAACACTCAAGTCTGCAGTCAGTAAAGTTTACATTAATTTGTCGTAGAGGTCTTTAGATTCTAACTACAGTAATATATAAAAAATACAATATAATCTGATGAAATTCCTGAACTAAGAATATATTGGTGTACCATTAATACATTCTTTAGAGGATTACAGAAATATTTAATGTTTAAAAAGACTGCAAATAAAGCAATCAATAAAATGAGCACATTGAGAAACTAAGTACAGGGCTAAGTATAACTAAGTAACAAATTTAAACTTCATAAAAAATAACATGAAACAGAAAAGAGAAATGTCATATAAAGTATCATAACAGCATAATAATTTGTGTAAAAAAACCTGTCATCAGTAATGTGTGTATATGTACAGCTTTATTTCTTGTACGGTAATATTTAATAAAAAAAAAATTCATCGCGTTGTAAGTTTTCAGAATTGAGTTTACATTTATATTTATATTACATTTTAACGGTCGCTTCTATTGTAGATTCGTCATTTGTATAAAGAGTTATAAGATAGAGTGCATGTACCATCTGACTACGAATAGTCACTATAGTCCATGATGGTCGTACAGAGCCTTGTAACTATAGTGGGTTGAAGTGTGTTGCTCTGACTATCCGGCGCCTCAAGTCAATTCAATTTCATTATTATGCACCCCATACCCATCCCGTGGGCGGTGGTGTAAAGGATTACAGAGGCACATAATCGGTTCAGGAACTGAACCCTCTCGGCGCCCTAGAGACCTCGTTGTTACAGCGCCAGAGATAAATATTGTAATCGGTTATTGCATAATAACATAAGGGCACAGCGTCATTTGACTCCCGTAGGTGTTGGGAGAGCATCGTGCAAAAGGGTTCAAGCCCACACTGTCTTTGGCCAGAATCGGTTCAAAACAGAGATCCAGCACTGCATAATTTCAGCCGCAAATAATTATGTGTATTATTAAAACTAATGTTGAAAAAACTTAACGTAAAAATAGGCTTCGTTTTTCCTTGACGGAACAAAATGAGAAGAACGAACAAGGCACCAAGACAGTAAACAGGGTTCCATACCTCTCCCACTGCCCATTATCCACACAGAACATAATAGAAAAAAGAAAATGTGAACTGAAAAGTTATTAGCCCTCCCTCATAACGCTGTTCTTCATGAGCCACGTCAATATAACACCTACACTTTGGCTTTTTTTTTAGTAGTACAAGATTAGTTGAGGCAAATTGTGGAGCAGTTCCAATATTATCCTTGTGTTGGCAAGCACAATACTGATACAGAGTGAGCTGCTACTGGCTATGTATGTAAATGCGGTGAGTCAAAACCAACCTATAACAATGAAAATTATGCGAGTGCAAAGTAATAAATAAAACAGTAACAAATTCCTATGTCGTTAAGGGCTTTAGGGTTGTTATTTATTTTCCAACCAACTGTTGTTTAGGTGACGTCTGTATTTTTGTTTGTATTTCCTCGTTACAAAGCTGTTATGCAAAGTTGTTTGGGCTTTTATCTTTGAAAGATTATGCATTAACTTGCATATATTATTAAATTTACCACATATATTTTTGTCAAAATCCACAGCGAGGAAATACAGAAGAAAAAATACAATTTGCACTGAATGTTAAAAAAAAAAAACACTATAACATAACCCTTAATTAAAAAATGTCACCAGCGTTTAGGACACAACAATGGTGACATGATGTAGCTATGTACACAAGAAGTTAATTTATCAGTTACTGTGGCACCATCACCTAAGATGAATATAAAGTCAATTACTTTCAATAAGAAAACAAAAATAATGAATATTTTAATTTGTAAACACACAAGACATTGAGAAGTGCGTTGCTGGAGCCGACGGAAGCGTGCCGATACTTCCGGGTTCAGCTAACCTCACACACTACAGGTAATGTTTATATGGATTTATTTAAAGGTTTCAAAATTATTTGTCGTGTTTCCAGAAGCTTTACGGGCTGTCTAGAAGCCTTGAGTAACGCTCAAGGAACACAATATTCATTATGCTAAGATTTCACATGTTTTTTTTTTCTGAGCAAGTCTTAGACACATATTTATCATACATAATAAATAACGGCTGACCCTCTTCACAGATCCCTGTGTATATGTATATTTACAGTATATACATGTACATATATCTTTCTGCCAGTTCTCGTTATGTATAATTTCAAGACACAACACAGTGACATACATGTCTATGCCCGGACTACTACTGACTGTCCTCAGGGTAAGTAATCCAGACTGGTGTGGCCAGGGGGGGCTGCTACAGCCTGTTGTATTACCATACAGTCTGGAGTATACAGTCTCCTCGCCCATAAACAGGAACCGGGCCGAGCACATTTCACTGTCAAGTTTACCCGGGGTGTGGCCAGCTTCACAAAGCACTGAGGGGAACACAAATATTCAGAGTCCAGCTATGGTATAACCACTTGCTTCCCGGGATAGCCACAGAACCCCTCTGTTCAGTAGCACGCCCCAAGTTCCTTAACGGAGGTACATTTACAACACAAGAGCTCTTGATCACGTAAGATAAGAATGATTGTCGCGCCCGAGCGAGGTTTATCGTCACAATGGATCATCCACCCGTTTAGAACAATGTTTTGTATATTTATGCATGATTTGCGCACCAATTTCTAGTAGTTATCCCGTACAAGAGAGGCGATGGCTGCTCCATGGTCTCTCCAACACTCCCCATCACATTAGAGGTAGTGTCCGTGGTCAGGCCTCGTGTACTGGTAAATGTTGTATCAGAAGATCCACCACAAAATACTTATGGATCAGCATAGGTATATGAAATGTTAACCGCGTGTGGTGGGCTGCCGTTCCTGGCTCCCTCTCTATGCGAATGATGGTGGTCTGTAGTTCCTGGGATCCCTCTCCACATATTGTGTGCCGTAGCGCGTGGGTTTCTCTCCATACGCAGCGTGAGACGGGCTGGTTCCTCTACACACACACACGGTAAGTGTATGGTGAGTTTCTGTAGCCTTTGAACCACACACAATGTCGTCTGCTTGGCGTGTCGCTGTACACACCGTGAGAGGTTAGTCGAGTTCTGGTTGCTGGCGTGCGCGAGGAATCGGTAAAAATCTACTTCAGAAACAGTAGTTGAAGCTAAGATCTTAGTTGTATCTGACGTGTAGAGAATCAGGAAGAAAGGTAAAGAAATTGGCAAATTCAGGAAAGCAGAGCAGGAAGGAGGGTTTGAGGGAGAAGAGAGGAAGTGATCGCTTCATCCAATGGCTGAATTGTTCTCTGTGAACGGTTCTGTTCGTATTAGGCCGTTTGAAATTTGTGTCGTGGGGTAGTTAGACGTTCATGTGAGAGCGTAGGGTTGGATCCTACAGGCACCTGTAGTAGGGGCCTTGTCACCCATACACTCCGCCTCTGACTGGTCCCCTATACAGCTTAGGTGTGACGTTGCTAGTGACAATATCATAGTTATACTAGATTAATCGTGTTAACATGTTGCTAATTGTTGTTAGCAAAGTAACTATAATCAAAATTAGTGTTCGAGAAGAAGCGTTGATTGCAGCGATCGAAAGCTAGAATTAAAATTTCTATAACTGTAAACAAATTTATTTCGTTGTTTATATATACCATACTTCTTAGAATAGCATTAACCACTTTGGTTTCTGTCAGGTCGGCTAAGACTAATAGTTAAGTTTGTGATTAAATAATTTAGTTTTCTTTTATTGCTATTACGTTATAGAAAACGGATCTGTGCATGTGGGGGACACCAACATTAACATAAGCCAACGAAGAGCTGTGTTGTTTTAATTAAATTATTAAATATTTCATATACATTTATAACCTTTTGTAAACGTCAAAGAAATAATTTTGAATCTAATTTATTGTAATTTTAAAATTTATTGTGTTTTAGAATTACCATTGTGATGTAGATGATTATAAATTATTATTAATTATTATTATTAGGCTAGTACTTGCCAACCAAGTACTTCATCTTGGTTGGTCGTGATTCTTAGGTTGGCGGATTCTAGTAGTTTAGTCTTGGAGTTAACTGCCGCTCTGAGTTCAATTGGCCATTGGATATAGTTCTCACTTCCTCATTCAGTATCACACATTATACTGGGTATTGTGGTGTGGTTGGGGGGGGGGGGGGGGGGGGGTTGTGGTGGCGTGTTTACAGTGTTGGTGATGGGACGTGATGGTGTTGGCGTGATAGTGTAATGGTGGCACCAGGAGCCGGCAGTGTGTTGACCAAATTGGTCACTACGGTCAACACACCCCAGTGAAGGGGGTCACAGGGCCTTTGTTGGGGCTGGGTGGTGGTGGTGGTGGAGATTTGATTGGAGCAGAGGGTAAAGTCGGCGGTGGTGATGTTGGCGCAGTGGTGAGAGAGCATGGTGGTGGTGGAGACAAAGTGGTGGAAGATGGTGGCAATGTTGGGGTGGTGCAAGGGAAGAATGGTGGTAGTGGAGGTTGTGTGGTGGAGAGAGAGGCTCGTAGGGGCAGTAGTGGTGGTGGTGGTTGCAGCAGTGGCAGAGTTGTGGTGGAGTTAGCGGTGGAGAGGAAGGCCGGGGATCAGAAGTGACCACCCAGGTGATGGTGATGGTGGAGGGGCTCCGGGTGATGGAGACCCGCCAAGTTGTTGTTGAGGTTCATCCTGGCGGCGTGTTCCTGCGCCTTCTGCCGGAGAACAGCGATGCTGCTCGACCGGAGATCGTCAGGGAGGGCGGTGGGGGGCGGCTGCCCCGACGACCCCCCCGGGTGCAGGTTGGTGGGGGGCTCCGGTCGCACCCCTCCCACGAAGGTCCCGCCGCCACCTCCCACCTCCTGCAAAGACAACGACATTGATTGCATGAAAGGTGCAACAACAAGCAAGATCTTATTGCTTGCCTCCACACTATGCATTCTTATTATTAACCTTTACATTGTGGTGATATATGTAAGATTGATTGATGAAGATTAAGCCACCCAAAAGGTGGCACGGGCATGAATAGCCCGTAAGTGGTGGCCCTTTTGAGCCATTACCAGTATCAAGAGCTGATACTGGAGATCTGTGGAGGTGCGACTGCACCCTGCGTGACGGCAGATGTCTCCCGTGGATATATATAAATATATATATCTATATATATCTCGGCTGTGTTGGGACAGCACATGCCTGGGTGACCTCTAGGATAGACTGTGACCCCCTGGGATAGGGTATGACCTGGCGTCCCTCTACCCTTATGGCTCAGTGACCCCCAAGGTCAAGCTGTGACCTGACTCGAGTGCACCAGCAGCTCATAAACATGAGAATAAAACAGTGGGGGAAGTGTGAGGGTGTGTGAGGGGAGGTAGGGGGGAAGGTGGGAGGAAGAAGAGATGCTCACCTTATCCATGGGATAGTGCTGGGACTCCCGTGGGAACCCAGCCTCCGGGTCCCCATGATTGTCCCCCGGGTGCTGGTGCCTCTTTTGTTGCTCCTGCTGGTCCCCCTGCGGCTCCCCTGAGCCTTGCTGCTGCTGCTGGTGGTGTCGCTGTTGGTCCTCCCGCCCGTCGCTGGCCTCACCGTCAGGCTCTGACTCCTGCAGCTGCTGCGCCGCCTCCATGCTCTTACGGTGCATTCCTGGTGGTACCGCCAGCGTCAGTAACCCCTTACACACACACACACACCCTTACTCTCACCTCTACCACTCCATCTGGTCTCTACGTCTATTTACCACGTCTGAAGACTGTTTCCGCTGCGTCTAAAAGTCTAGGTACTAAACTATGGTTGTTACAGCGTGGTGGGGGAAGAGAAACTACTGTATCAGTCCTTGTGCTTCTTGTTTTGATAATAGACTGCATTTAGAATTGAACAATATTTTTTATAGTGAGTATGGTTGACTAAGATGGGCACGGTACTTCTCTTATAGGAGGATACCCAGCCAGAGATACCTTGTGTTTTTGGCTGGCAGGATATCCACCTAGTGCTTAGGGGGTATAGTCCTTGCCCTCACGATATCCACTCAGAAGCTAGCAGCAAATTCACTTAAAGACGTTAATTGCTGTGTTTGCTTGGGGCATACCCACCTAGGAGCCAGGGAGCGGGGCAGTCCTCTCCACTGTCCACAGACTTGACGATGGTTTCCGGGAGAGGAAGAGAGTGCCGGACCATGGCACCGTAGAGGCCGTACTCTGCCATGATGGTACTCTTGCCCCAAGTCTTCTCCGTCTTGCGCCACTTGGCCCGTCGGTTCTGGAACCATACCTGTAGGCACGGCACGAGGGGTGATTAGTGCATCCTGGAGGGTATCGCCTCTTCTTCATGGAAGAATGTTAAGTGTAAGTTTTTAACAGTGATGAATGTTTGTAGGGAGTGGAACAGTAAGAGGTGTAGGGAGTGGAACAGTAAGAGGTGTAGGGAGTGGAACTGTAAGAGGTCTAGGGAGTGGAACAGCAAGAGGTGTAGGGAGTGGAACAGTAAGAGGTGTAGGGAGTGGAACAGTAAGAGGTGTAGGGAGTGGAACAGTAAGAGGTGTAGGGAGTGGAACACACCCCAGCTCCACACTGCCTAGGACCACATTCTTGCTTTTAAATCAAGCCAGACATATACACATGATACATCCATGCACGTCAGTCTGTTGTGGACTTCTTCCTATACAGATCTCCCTCCAAAACATTCACGAACACAACCATTCTCGACGTCATAAGTGTCTCGAACAGCTCACAAACAAATCGTAATAAAATCCACACTTAATAAAAAATGGAATTTTAAACACTAACTAATAATATATAATCCTAAAAATGGTGGTAATATATGTACATAATTATCTAAAATAAAATAAGAATAGCGAGAAGGAAAACAGCTCTCTAAATCCGTCTTAGTCAGCTGAAGCCAGCTACCCGTCTCACGAACACCCGGAGGACGCTTACCAACCAGTGATCATAACATTACGTCCTGCTTCATGGAACATTTAAGAGAAAATATAAAGTACTAATGCTAATTTAAGCACGACTTGTAGTGTCTTGTTATAATCAAATTAGTGGAACAAGACTGTTCTTAATATTGGACACACGAAAACAATATTTGTTGAGTGGTGATTAATTTCGTATTAGGCTTTCGTCACCACAACAATCATACTCCCTGTTTCTCAAAACGTGTGAATGGATATATCTTCTTGCTACAAGACTTAAAACTCCTGGAATTCCTTAACACCTTCACTATAAAGGAGCCTTGTGGTACCTTAGTGATTGGATTCATTCATGTTGCACCATTATTCCCTTTTATTTCAGCCAAAGTCAAAGTTCTGGCGGACCAACAACCGACCATTTGGTAAGTCAATCAAGTTAGACTTATTAACAATGTAACATTTAACAATGTTAAACCAATGGAACTAATTTGTAAAATCTTGATTAAGAAGACATTGACTTTTGTTTAACTTTACAATTTAATGGGTACAGTTAGGTTAGCACAATTTCTTATTAGTGCATTTTTTGTAGTTTCAATCAATCTTCATTTTAATGTTTAAGATTCGCTACCTGGAACAAAAAGTTCCAAGTAGCACGGGCTATGGTGAGCCCGTAGTGGACTTCATTATATGATATTGATGTGTATTATACCGGCAGGACAGTGGAAGCAGCACTCCCGGTACCTCCCCGACACACTGACAGAGAGGCTACGAAACACAAGGAAAAGAACTTCACTGCAGAAACATGGAAGCTGTTTTTTTTTTTTTTTTTTTTTTTTTTTTTTTTTTGAGATATATACAAGAGTTGCTACATTCTTGTACAGCCACTAGTACGCGTAGCGTTTCGGGCAGGTCCCTGGAATACGATCCCCGCCGCGAAGAATCGTTTTTTCATCCAAGTACACATTTTACTGTTGCGTTAAACAGAGGCTACAGTTAAGGATTTGCGCCCAGTAAATCCTCCCCGGCCAGGATACGAACCCATGACATAGCGCTCGCGGAACGCCAGGCGAGTGTCTTACCACTGCACCACGGAGACTGCTATGTTTTACTACAACCTCTTTCCTTATAAAATAATTTTTACTGCTTGGTTCGAGGAGGCCTTATTTTTTTGTTTACATTGTATCATGTTCAAAGAACCATTGCTAATCTGGCGTGGGGGGGGGAGGAACTGATAAGATTAATCTTTCATTTCTCATCATTATTCAAACTTCGCTTTGACTCTTGCCTCAGGCAGCTTAAGGAAGACATCTTGAAGGTGTCTGAAGGCCGCGGACTCCTTGCCTACAGCTGAGATACATTATTGTAGAAGTCGGCAGGCTTCAGCTACCTTTAAGATGTCTTCCCTAGGCTAAGATAAATATCATAGCGAAGTTTGAGCTGAATAAAAGGCATTTTCTATTTTGGAGGCATAACTAATCTGAAAATAACATTATCCAGTTATTTTTTTCACACAGTGTAATCAATTATATGTATAAATGATATGTTTCGTTAGGTATCGGCCGTTGGAGGTTGGTTGAGATATTTATGCCCTCTGTCCTCTTTGGCACTAATTTACACTGTTGGACCACTAATCTATCACTACCATCAGGGTCCGTTTAATTACCACAAGCTACCACAAACTACACAAACTTCAGAAAGCTTCCTGGCAATACGTTAGTAATGAATAAATATGATATATTAAGTTAGGCTGACCTAACCTAACCTAACCTAACCTAACCTAACTTAACCAAACCTAACCTAACCTAACCTAACCGAAGCTTGGATCGTCGACTTGATTTGGCGTCACCAGCTTTTTATTTTCGTCTAATTTCTTTATAAAAAGATACTTTTTCAGATTAAAATTATGTTTTTTCGTGTTGTACATTCAGCACCAACATTATAATGAGTAAATATATCATATTTATTCATTACTAACGTATTGCCAGGAAGCTTTCTGAAGTTTGTGTAGTTTGTGGTAGCTTGTGGTAATTAGACGGACCGCTACCATCATTCAGAGCACCACCACAACTACCACCAGCACCATACAAGGCACCACCACCATCTCCAACACCATACAGGACATTACCACAACTACCACCAACACCATACAAGACCCTCATCCCCACCCCCAAAGCTATCTTCATTCCCCATGCATATCCTCCCCTCCCCCCCCTCCTTAACCACCCAACTATCAATTCACCCCCCCCCCACCTCTCCCCATCTCACATTCAACCCCTAAATCCTCCAGGCTACACCCTTCCATCCCCCCCCCCTTCCACGGACACGCCCCACGTCAAAGGATCTCAGAGCCCTCTCCCACCCTTCCCATATATCTTGCTGTGGGAAAGTGCTTCGAGGGGATTACATAATTGAATTATCCGACAAACAGACTAACATGACACGTAGGAGCCCCCCGCCCCCCGTGGTGCGGTAACTGGTAGCAGGGGTTAATTGACAGAGGGGGAGAGAGAGACTGTTACTGACTGGAGAAAGATCAGCTCAAGAGAACGGGAGGATGATGACAGTGGTGCAAAACTACGGTATCGGTGGGGTGATAGTGAGGAGCTCTGATTGTGGTAGTAATAGCAGGATAGTTTTTAGCAATGATAGACAAATTAATGCTGATAACAACGGAAATAACATGGAGTAATTACATTTGAAACACATTATCCACCAGCTACAGTAGTCTCCCCCTGCAAACAAAAATCCGTCTTCTTTCATGTTCTAAGTAGGCTTTGGGATTCTTATTCTCATATTCATTCTCTCTCTCTTCTCTCACAGCTCTTCTACCCCCTGCCTTTCTCCTCCCCCTTCCCCCCTGCTGAGGACACGCGCCTCTGGAGCCCTAAGCAGCGCTTAGCGAGACCCTAATAAGGGTTTAAGGTTACAAGATACACAGATAATGATTATTTAGGGCGATGTTGACATGACGGCGCGGGCACCGCTTGGAATTAGCGGGAAAGGGGGGAAGAGATACCCTTGGTACCGGAGGATGAGGATGATGCCCTTGGTACCGTGGGTAACCTTTGGTAGTCTGCGGTTAGAGTTTCTTACCTTGAGGTGTTTTCGGGGTTTAGCGTCCCCGTGGCCCGGTCCTCGACTAGGCCTCCTTGGAAGGGGCTACTTTCCTTTGGTTGCGTTCTCAGCCTATCCGCTCCTATCCCCTCACGTCGACCACTACACGGAGATGCATTTGGCAACGACTAGACTACCAGTTACGAGGACATGTAGCCGGGTGCGGTTGGGGATGGTAGGGTGGGCCTGGGTATGGTGGGGGTGGAGGTGGGGGGGGGAAAGGGAAGCCGGAATTATCACACGATAATGGTGATAGGAATGAGTGTTATAGTGATGGGACGAAGAGAGGGTGATGGAGGCGGTGAGGGTCGGCTACTGATGGTGAGGGTGATGATGGTGGGGGTGGTGATGGTGAATTTGCACCACCACCACCACCATCACTCTTCCTTCTACTATCCTCCATTCCCCTCACCTTCCTTTTCTATATTTGGCGAGACAAAATAGTGAATTCTGAACATCTTTAATTACAAAAATAGAGGAATTGGGCGACGAACAAGCATAAATTGAAGAGGAGGGACAGAGGAAGGAAGGAAGGGTGACAAAAACAGAGATGGAATGGGTGGGATGGGATGGAATGGTGGCGGGAGGGAGGAGTGCCATCACTGTGGCACGAACACATATCCAATTATAACAGGTCGGGGACCGAGGCGCAGAGAGCCCCACCAACACCCCTTTCAGATGAGCTCCCCCTTCCCCCCTCTCCCCCTTCCTTCTCTCCCATTTCCCCTTTCCCTCTCCCGTTTAGATTTCCAAGTCTCTCATTCCTCAGTGTTTCCATGATGGCAAACAGTAAGTTGAAATATATCTTGCGTCAGAAGAGGCTTGGGCAACACTTGCGTCAGAGATATCACTCATGAGATGGCTGCCGGACTTCAACCCTGACAAATGTAACGTTATAAAGATGGGAAAATGTAGCGAAGATATTCCAGCGGATATCTCGATATCCCCCCCTCCCCCCCCCCTACCCAAGTAGATATGACAGAACTCACGAAACCCTCTCCAGGTATGATCCAGGTACCAGAAAGAATTACTGTAATAATAGACTAGGAAAATAATTTTGGGCCAAGCGTAGCAGGTATCGTTTAGCTGGAAAAAAAAGCGGGGCCCAGGAGCTAGAACTTGTCCAAATCAACACCCCCCCCCCCAACACAGCCAATTGTACCGAGCGGGAAATTCAGGAATAAATCTATTAAAAAAAAGTAAATACTTTTTTTTTCCACCGATTTTCCAGTTTCCATCTGGG